ACAGTATTTCCCCATGAAACCAGTTCGACATGTGCACTGTCCAGAAATGTGGTCACAGTCGGCTCCATTCCTACATTGACAAGTCTGAGAGCAGTCCTTCCCAAAGAAACCCAACGGACAGCCTGCAAAGAAGTTATCGTCATTATATTCTGTACTTTTAAAATATGCCGTTTTTTTAAATTAAAAAAGTACCTTTGACAAATTTATCCAAGATTATACCAGTATCATCTGGATCAGCCATTCCCAAAGAGAAGAGTGCTTCACCCCCCTTAAAATCCCCCAAAATTACATGGGGCCCACCTAATCTTATATTTTCACTCTAATCAAAATTTTGCTAATAAATAAACAACACAGGCTGTAGGCTATAAATTGCTAATGCTACCTAGTCATTTATGTTATGGCCAACATTTGACCCGCCTACCAGTGGGACACAAATGTCAATACAAGAACGATGAGTATTATTACAAGCTAGCTATCCAAAGCGATCCAAAAGTATGACATCAACAGAATGCATGTCACCAATTGGCTAGTCAGTCTTATGGTCATGGGGGAATCATATGATTGTTGGGTGATGATTGTTTTCTCTGTATGTATTATTATAGGGTCTACCTTACAATATAAAGTGCCTTGAGACAACAGTTGTTGTGATTTGGAGCTGTATAAATGAAACTGAATTGAAAGTTGTGTCACTCAATGAGTCATGAAAGCGTCTTCTTCACAAAAACCAAAACTGCAATTTTTGAAACCCGTCAATGTCACAAAAACAACACCATGTTTCCGGAGTCTGACAAAAAGCCATCGACCCAGCAGCTGGTACAAACATCCACCTATTTTGTAGCATTTGTGCTGCATACAAATGACCTCACAGGATGTTTGACCGTGTTGGTATAAGGACACCACACATAAGATGGTACTCGATTGTAACAGAAATAGAGTCAAGCCAAGTTGTATTGCCTTGAGCTGCGTCGAGTCGATTCGAGTAGGTACTAATGGAAAAAGTGCTTCCATCTTAACCCAGTCAGTTACCAATAGCATGGACTATATGCCTATATATGAGGAATATAGACTCTGCTGTTAACAGGTGAGGTTGAAACCCATTCATGGTAAGTGTAATGGCATCAGCCACACATGGTAAATCAAGTCCATTTGTTCACTTTATTAGTTTGGTTTGCAGTTTTCTTCATTAATATAATTCATTAATCATTTTATTTAAACCTAACACTGATATTATGAGGCACGGGCATAATAGCATTGTGGGGTTCTTCTAAAAATGTTTTCTGTTTAATTATGTTTCTCTTTCTTTGACTTACCTGGTTTTGGGCGGTGGCTGTTTCCTGTCTTGGCTCAGGACAGAAGAGAACAAAATGCCTGCTCAGCAGGACCAACCATGTGCTTATCAGGAACAGGGGTGTTTTAGGTTTACTTATGTTATTCTGTGCTTAGTTAATATTAGTGTGTGTTTTTGTTTTCCCCCCTACTGTGTGTAAATGGTTTGGCCAAACCACTTTAAAAGCTACCCTCATGTGTCTTTGTAATTAGGTCAGTTTGTGGGTTAAGTTGTGTCCACTTTGTTTGTTTAAGTTTCTGGAAATTACTTTTTGTAGAGTTATATTTAGTTGACCTCTTTTATGGGCCTGCTAATTCTGTTTTGGAATTTTGTCTTTTTGAGGGTTAAAATAAAGAAAACCTTTTTTGAAGACATTTTTTCCTGTGTCCTCTATGCCTTGGCTGCTTGGTCC